TCCCATCCTAATCAAACCATTACATCATCAGCTTGTCTTTTATACTACGCTATACTAATCAAAGTAATCTAAATACTCTAGATATATATACTCATCTCTAGGTACAACGAAAACGATTATTTTCTATTTAGATTACAATCAGCACCAATCACCATAATTAAAAATGTGAACACTATAATAACACCATTTTTTTTAGCATGTCATCGAAACACAATATTTCGTACGGTTCTACATAAAAATCCGTATTGTATTTGTACAGATACTATTATTTCTGTCCGAATATTAGTAGTAAGTTTCATTATCTAAACTCTAAAGATACGTTGACAAGATCATTCTCATTGCTCTGAAATTCAGACAAGGACCCTTTAATTTAATGCACAGATTATCTTCTTATGTAAAAATTTTAAATGCTCAAAAAGTTGACATTTTCGTTTACACTTTCATACAAATCACAACTTAATTATCTTCTGTCAAATTTAATTAGACAATTGCTAAAAGATGTTAAACAAAAAAGACAATTGCTTAGACAATTTTTTAAAAATATACCCAAGTATTATAAACATATCATCTTATATGAAGTAATCGAATGTAATTATATTACTTATGTATCTCGTTTTTGTAATCATAGTAAAATAATCTCCGAAATCTATAGAAATCGGCTACTATTATCAATTAAAATAAGGTATATAAAAGTCTATTATGCTTGCTTGATAAAGATAAAAATAAGAAAATATTTTTATAATCATAATTTATGCAGCTATCAGAGAAAAAGTCTAACATTCTTGCTTGATCTCTTTTTGAAAATTTTCTTTATTGTCAATAATAATATAAAAAAATAATAGTTTGACTTTAAATAATGGTCTCATAGTCATTCAATATGTTAGACTATACTATTTCAATTACAACAACCACTTAAACAACATTATTATCAACTAAACACCGTTCTCATTCCAATGCTTAGTTAGTTGCATGAACATTATGTATTTAACAAAACATTAAAATCACCAACGAAAGTCGGTTATTACAATACAATATAAATACGCCTGAAAAAATGCCGGAAAATACATACGCAAACCCAAAAAAGTCACAAACTTGGACCCACAAAAACAGTAAACGAAGAATAACACAAAAATAATAATAATATTCAAACATTTCACCAAAGCTTTGACCTTTCTCTTTCAACAACTGTCATCATTTACTCAAACTCAAAGCTTTATCAATCCCCAAATATATGACAATTAACCTCCACGACTATCTTCTTCTGCCTCTGCCATGGAAGCTCCTCTCTTTCTTCTTACCCTTTTTCTCATCTCTCTTATAAACCCAATTTCAGCCGTTGATTTCATCTTCAACGGCTTCGATGACTCTCCCTCTCCTTCCTCGCGTCTCTCTCTCTTCGGGATCGCGAAAATCGAATCAAAAATCTTAACTTTAACAAACCAAACATCGTTTTCAACTGGTCGTGCTTTATACAGCCAAATCATTCCGACCAAAGATCCAGTAACTTCCTCTGTTCTACCTTTCTCTACTTCCTTCATCTTCACTATGGCTCCTTCCAAAAACACTCTTTCTGGTCACGGAATCGTTTTCCTCTTCGCACCGACCACTGGAATCAATGGAACTAGCTCTGCTCAACACTTGGGCCTCTTCAATCTCACCAATAATGGTAACCCTAATAACCATGTCTTTGGAGTTGAGTTCGATGTCTTTGCTAATCAAGAATTCAACGACATCGACGCTAATCATGTCGGAATCGATGTTAATTCGCTTAGTTCTGTCTATTCGAACACATCTGGGTTTTGGTCTGATGGTGATGGTAATGGGAATCGAGTGTTTAAGCCATTGAAGCTTAACGATGGAAGAAATTATCAGGTTTGGATTGATTACAGAGATTTTGTAATCAATGTTACTATACAGGTCGCAGGTGAGATTCGACCTAAGATTCCTTTGCTTAGTAAGTCTTTGAATCTCTCTGGAGTTTTGGAAGACGAAATGTTTGTTGGATTCACTGCAGCTACAGGGAGATTGGTTCAAAGTCATATGATTTTAGCTTGGAGTTTTAGTAACTCGAATTTCTCGTTGGGTGATAGTTTGATCACTACTGGTTTGCCTTCGTTTGTTATACCGAAAGAATCGATCGTTAAATCGAAATGGTTTGTTTCGGTATTGGTGTTGATCTGTTTCTTGGTAGTTTCTTTGATTGGTTTGGTGGCTTTTGTTGTGGTGAGAAAGAGATTAGAGAGGGAGAGGAAGAGAGCGTTGATGGAGGATTGGGAAATGGAGTATTGGCCTCATCGGATTTCGTATGAGGAGATTGAATCAGGAACTAAAGGTTTCGATGAGAAGAATGTGATTGGGATTGGTGGGAATGGGAAAGTGTATAAAGGTTTGTTACAAGGAGGGGTTGTAGAAGTTGCGGTTAAGCGGATTTCGCAGGAGAGTAGCGACGGGATGAGGGAGTTTGTAGCTGAGATCTCGAGTCTTGGACGGTTAAAACACCGGAATTTAGTTTCTTTAAGAGGTTGGTGCAAGAAAGATATTGGTAGTTTCATGTTGATTTATGATTACATGGACAATGGAAGTTTAGACAGATGGATTTTCGAGCGAGATGATAAGAAATATACGCTTAGTTGCGAAGAAAGGATCCAGATTTTGAAAGGCGTAGCTTCGGGGATATTGTATTTGCATGAAGGATGGGAATCTAAGGTTTTACATAGAGACATTAAAGCAAGCAATGTGTTACTTGACCGAGATATGATCCCTAGGCTTAGCGATTTTGGATTAGCTCGGGTACATGGGCACGAGCAAGCGATTAGGACCACAAGAGTTGTTGGTACAGCCGGGTATTTAGCTCCTGAAGTGGTTAAGACAGGGCGTGCATCGACACAAACCGATGTTTTTGCTTATGGGATATTAGTTCTTGAAGTTATGTGTGGGAGGAGACCAATTGAAGAAGGGAAGAAACCGTTAATGGATTGGGTTTGGGGATTAATGGAGAAAGGTGAGATTCTGAGAGGGCTCGATCCTCGGATGACGACATCACAAGCCATTGATGAGGCCGAGAGAGTTTTGCAGCTTGGTTTGCTTTGCGCACATCCTGATCCGAGAAAGAGACCGTCAATGAGACAAGTGGTTCAAGTGTTTGAAGGTGATAAAGCTGAGATCTTTGAAGCGGAAAGTAGTGAAGATGTTGAGTCTTGGATGCTAAAGAAGATGGGATCTCGCGGAAGCTCGCAAGAGTTTTGGTATGGAAGCTCGTCACATCCGACGATAGAACAGATCAGACTTCACTCATTGTCTGTGTCTCTTTCGTCTTGGAATAGCTCTATACTAGAAGGTAGGTGATGGATGAATATAAGAGTCTTCAAGAATGTAGTAGTTATTTTTGTGGCCTTGGTTTGGTTGTTTTTGTGTACATATATGGTTTTTGTAAACGCATGTTACATGAATTTG